TTCCGCAGGTGTCCACGAGCCACACCGTCAATAGTGTCGGCGTCGCCACCAGCGTAGCCCATGGCTCAATACTGTATTCAAAATTAATGCCACATGGTCTACCACTGGCGCCGATGCTTGCTCTCGATCTTTACTGGTTTTGGGTCACCTTCAGCCCCGTTTGCCCGACCCAAAGCCGGTCGCGGGGTTTGCGCCATCGCCCATCAGCCTATCAATTCCATCTCCCTGCATACCGCCGACGGAGGGGAATCTGTACAGGAGGGCGCCGCTGTCACCGAAGGCGATTGGCTGCTACGCCATGCATGGCGTCGACTACCACCAACACTACTGCATCCCATAGCCTCCCCCTCAAGACTCCAACAATGTCTCCCTTCATAGCCCAGCGCCGTTCCCATCGCCCTACGCGTGGCGGCGCTACCACCACCGCCGGCGCCTTTGTCGCGCTCGGTGGACCGTGACCATTGTTTTGTCGCGCGTAGTTGGCAGGACAATCATGCTAGACGAGCCCCGTCGGAATGGCGACAATGCCCCGGTAGATTTGTTGGGCACCGCCTCCATTGGGCTGTGATCGTCACCAGCGACGACCGGCGCCGGTGGCGACGACAGTCACGGCCAATATACTCCCAGAATACGTACCTGCACGCACCCCGATGGTGAAAGATAGTCTGAGACTCGGGGCCGGGGTCTTCGCAGCGCGGGCGCTCGCACTTATCGGCAACGCCCCAAAACGCACCTCGAGCAGCGCCTTATATAAGTCGCTGGAATCCGCTAAACTATGCCCACAATCAATTATCCCCTAACATGGCTGCGCCCAAGGAACCCGTGATCCCCGCCAAGTCCGACGTCGGCGCCCTCGCCAACCGCATCAACAGCGAGACCCGCGCCGCCCACGACAAGATCGACAAGTTGGTCACCGTCAAGTTTGCCCTCGCGTTGCGCGACTACAAGATCTACCGCCAAGGGTTGCAGGCGTTCTACCATGTGTTCCAGGCGATCGAGCTCGCCCTCGACCGCCAGTTGGCCAAGGAGGACGACCCGTGGACGGCGCTCATCGCCGAGGTGTGGCGCCCCGAGGTCGCCCGCACCGCCAAGGCGGAACAGGACTTGATGTTCTACTACGACGGGCGCCGCGACAAGTTCGAGCTGGCGATCATGCCCGAGCAGATCAAGTTTGCCCACCACATCGCCCAGGCGTGCGCCGACAAGCCCTACTTGTTGTTTGCCTACATGCATGTGATGTACTTGGCGTTGTTCGCCGGGGGCCGGATGATGCGGCTGCTGTTCTCGAAAGCGACGGGGCTCTACCCGCAGCGCCAGGGGTTGACCCACGCCGACATCGTCAAGCGCGGCACCAACTTCTTCACCTTTGACGTCACCAACGAAAACGAGTTGCGCGCCGAGTACAAGCGCGACTACGAGCTCGCCACCCGCAACAACTTGACCGAGGCCCAGAAGCAGGAGATCATCGACGAGCTGAAGTACATCTTTGAGCAGAACGCGTTGGTGGTGCGCGAGCTCGAGGCACACAACTTGGCGCGTCTCAAGCACAAGTGGCAGTACCAGGCGATCACCAAGGGCTACTACGTCGTGTTGACGCTGGTGGCGCTCTTGGTGATGTACCTCCTCCGCCGCGTGGTGGTGGGGTTGATGTGAGCCGGCCAAAACGCGTTGGTTTGGTTCTAGCATCGGTTTGGTTTTCGTTTCAGTTTTTTTTGAGTTTTGTAATATAGAGAGGCAGCGAGTTTATCCGGAATAATACGAGTCATAGCAAGCACCCTATGTAGCAAGATCTGTAACTCAGCTGAGAACGAAGCGCATCGCACTTCTACTAGTAGTGGCTTACCGGATCCGTTATTTAGGCTTCTTGTTTGTATGTCCAACACTGACTGATTGAGTAGCGTACAAGTCTATGCCATCAAATCTTCTCATCTTGATTTAACGGTCCCGAGGCGACCTCAGAGGCGCTGCCTGAGTCAGTTATTATAGTCTTATTTGAATAGTGATAGAGAAAAAGCTAATTAAAGTGTCGAGTTGATTGAATGTGCCTTGAGGATGTCTTCAGATAAACCATGCCAACCACGCACTCTGAGCAGGTGACTCTGTTTGGCTCTCCATCATGTTGTGACTCACGACAACCACTTAAATAGCTACTTAGGGTTCACAGAGGCGTTTTCGGGCCACGCATCTGGTTGAATTTTGGACATAGTCAGCGGCCACCCATCCTCCCTCACGTCGAGCGACACGGAAGGGGCAGCCATGCAACACGATGGTTTTAAGGTATTTACCCCTCAAAGTGTTTCACTTCTCGAAAGGCCAAATACTTCCCTGTTTGCTTATACCGCTCCCGCCAGATGCGAGGCCGATGGAACTGGTCCTTAAAGCCCGTGACTTGGCAATAACGTATTAATCATGGCCATATTCGCCCCACACTACCAAGCGGCTCACAGTGTTGGCAAAGACTGTGGCATCTTCGAGGCTAACGAGACGACTGACAAACAAGTCTTTCAACAACGTGAATTTCGAACGATGATCAAACACCTCAATGTTCTGGGAGATTGACACGGTCAATCGCTTTACAGAACTGAGGTCGATCACCCGATCAAGATGAGGGTGACGCCCATTAAGTTGCAAACTGTCCACCCTATGGTTGGTAGAGACAGAACCGGACAAGTGCTGGTTGGATCTCTAGGGAAGGCCAATTGCACATACATCCCCCCATTATGAGGGTGGAGCCAGTACTGGCCAGCTCGGGTAGTACCTTGGCGGTCTATCAAGAGCTTCTTCTTAATCATCAGTTGAGGCATAGGGCAAAGCACCACTGTAGCCGGCCACTCAACACGTTGATCAATCATCAACTCGTAGTTTCGTTGAGAGACACCGGTAAGGTCGACCCACTCCAGGCGGATTGAATTTGGGAAGCGTGAACTTGGAAGAGTGCAACACGTCCAAAGCCAAATTCTCCGGGAGCAGGCAAAAGAACTCGCTAATAAGTTCAGTGGGGGAGCTTTCTGATGAAGTAGAAGCTGCTGTTGGAATTGATAGGATTGTTTGCTGCTCTATTCATAGCTGGTGGTACTCCTAAGGTTGAATTGAGCAACGAGATTATCTTATAGATCGCTTGGGATCTGGTTCCATTTCCCGTAGTCCTTCGAACTTAGGGATTACCAGAACGCGAACGGTGGCACTAGTATTCGAGCTCAAACACAACCCCAATCAACTCGTGTGACCCTTTATGACCCATTTAACTATACATATGATTACCGTCCAATTTGTGAGGCGCTAGTGAGCTTAAACATCACATTAATCGGGCCCTCTTCAATATAAATAATGGTGCCATACATCGTGTCAGAAGAGATTTCGCCGGGGGTAGTGAAGTAGTACCAATTTCGTATTAATCGTCCTTTGTTTCGTGATCTCTATAAACTGTTATCCCTGGCCATGCTGGCTACTCGTCGTCGTCGCTGTCGTCGCTGGCGTGGTCGCCTTGCAACTCGTTGGTGACCCCCTCCGGGTGGTCGGCAATCCACTGTTGCACCCACTGGCCGATGCGGTCGCAGTTGTCGTCCATTTCGTCGGCGGTGTTCGACGTCAACTCGATGACGATGTCGGGGACGTACAGGTCGCGGGCCTCCTGGGCGACCACCTCCATGATCTCGCAGTCCAAGTTCTCCTGGATCTTGACGTCGCTATAGTCACGTTTCTTCAACCGGTCGTACAACAACTGGTTGTCACACCGCAAGCACACCACGAGGTCGATCAACCGTTCGGGGAACACCTCGCAGCAATGCCAGTCGATGATGGCGCCGCCCTTGCGCATGTCGGGCTCGAGCGAGTCCAATAACTTGTCTTCGTCGACGACCAGGGTGTCGAGGCGGGCGTCGTACAGGTCGATGCACCCGCGAGCTTTGGCTTCGTCGGACACGGCGTAGTGGTGCCACTGATTCTTCCCCTCGGGGACGGTGCTGGGGACGTCACCGGCAAGTTGCAGCACGAGCAGCTGGGCGTGGGACGTCTTGCCACACCCCGGGGTGCCGGTGATGATGATGTTGGGCAAGTATCTCACGGACATGGTACCGATGACTTCGCGCTGGCGGGTAAATTGGTGGTGATGAAATATATAGAAAAGCGATAAATACCACCAAAAAGGCGACGAGTCGATGAAGGATAGAGCATGGAATGATACCTACTGCCATTATTTTAATATTTCATCAACTGACACTTTAGTACGTTATTGAGCTCGCCTTCGAGTAGCACTTTTCCCCGTAGACATTACTAGCGTTAAATATAGACAAACCACTAACAAATTAAGTCAAGAAAAACCACTAGCAAATCAAGTAAAGAAAAACCAATAGCAAATTTACAGTAGGAAAAAAAAAAAACGACTAATTTTACCAGTTATGAGTCGTATAATTTGGTGGCCACCCCCACCTTGCGCCGCGCGCGCAAATCGAGAAAAAAGCCGTCTCGTCACCATCGATTGTCTACAACCATGCCTCCCGTGCAAAACATCCAGTACGCCCAGGGCCCGTCGAACTTTGAGAAGTTCAAGATGGGGTTGATCATGGGGTCGACCGTGGGTGTGTGTGTCGGCGTCCTCTTTGGCGGCTTCTCCATCTTGCAGAACGGCGCCGGCCCCAACGGGGTGATGCGTACCCTCGGCCAGTACATCATGGGGTCGGTGGGCACCTTCGGCCTTTTCATGTCCATCGGCAGCGTCATCCGCTCCGACACCAACATGTTAGCTTACCAGCGGGCGATGATGGCGAGACAGCGGGCGACGTTGCGTGTCGTCAACCGCAACTAACTGTATATAGCTAACACCACGTTTTTGTCATCTAATTGTCTCTATATACATCTATACGCGGTAGAGCTCGGTCTCGGCCCCCGAGCCAAGGTCGTACATGTACGTCAACCCGAACTCCGGGGTGCGGTAGCGGTCGCCGGTGCCCGCGGCCGCCGCCAACGCCGCCAACGTCTCCTTGGGCTCCAAAATGCTCTCGCCGGAGAGCTTAAACGTCCCCCAGTGGACGCCCTTCATATACTTAGTCTGGAGGTGGTCGCACAATTTAAGGGCCTCCTCGGGGGAGATGTGGCGGGGCTTCTGGTGCCACAGGGGGCAGTACTGGCCGATGGGGAGCAACAGCAACAACGTGGGCCCGTAGCGGGCGCCGATGGCGGCGAAGAGGTCGCGGCAGTACCCGGTGTCGCCGGCGTGGTACGCGATCAGCTCGCCGTTCTTGCGGACGATGTACGAGCACCACAACGTCGTGTTGGAGTCGACGACGTAGCGGCCCAGCCAGTGCATCGCCGGCACACACACGAGCTCGTAGCGGTCGCCGTTGACGTTTGCCAGCGGGTGGAGGAGCGGGTTGAGGTCGACGGTGTCCCACCAGTCCATCTCGACGACGTTGTGGACGCCGCGGCGGGCAAGCTTCTTCTTGAACCCCAAGGGGACGATCCACGTCGCCTGGTTGCCAAGCTGGGGGATGAGCGCCATCTCCAAGTGGTCCGGGTGGTCGTGGGACACGAGGACAAAGTTGAGATTGTCGTCGGTGGCGTAGCGGATGTCGCCCAACTGCATCGGCGTCTTCGTGAGCCGCTGGGGGCCAAACTTCGTCAGCATGAGGTGGTCGCCGAGCTGAGGGTCGGTGAGGAAGTTGATCCCCGACACTTGCAAAAGCCCGCACAGCTGGCCCAACCACGTGAACAACACCTGGTCGCGTACCGGAGGTAATGACGTTATCGGGACGTTGTCGCCGTCGCGTAACTGCTGCCACCACGGTTGAGGCGTGCCCGGCTCGGTGTATGGAGTGAAATCACCCGAAGCAAGGCACTGGCTGAGAATGCGCGAGTTGTGGCGGTACTGGTCCATGCTGGGCTTGAACCGCTTCAACACGTCCTCGACGTCGCAGGCGCCGTCGTGGGGCTTGGCGAGCGGCTGGTGCAACGCCACCGTGACCCCGTAGATCGACTCGAGCCACTCCATAAACCGCACCACCATGAACTCGAACGCCGTCTGCGGGCGGTACTCCTGGAACGGGTTGACGAACATGCCGCTGATGTTTACCGAGCGGAACCGCGCCACGTCGGCGTCGTCGTCGTTGGAGCTGGCGGCGGCGGCGGCGGCGATAGCCTGTTGGCGGCGGTGGTAGATCACGTACTGGGTGCGGAGCTGCATGTAGATCTCGAACAGGGTGTAGGTGGCAAGCAACCCGAGCCCGAGCTTCGTCTTGAGCCCCCACGCCATCGTCGCTGGAGGCGTGTTTTTGTGTGGTCTGTGGTGTGGGTACTGGAAGGAGGGCCCGCGGTGATAGGGCGTGCGATGTTGCGAGATGGCTCGCTATCACCACCACGTTGCGGACCAGAAAAAAGGGTCTACAAAGACACGATTAGTGAAATAAAAGTGGTTTTTTATGGTATTTGGGCGTTGCAGTTTACGGGGGTGGGGTGGTTTTTGCGGTAGAGGCAGTGGGGGTTGAGTTACAGAGAAGCCTGGTCTCGCACACCTCGCTAGTTATTCAGCACTTGACAGCAGTGATGGCAGCAGAGCCCGCGCACATGTGACGGGAAACGGTGCAGGAACCAAAACATCACCTAGCAACGCAACAAAACACCCATAAATAACCTGGCGACGGGCACCTAACGGGCGTAGGAGATGATACTACCAGCTAGGCTAACCGGAATCGCTGTCAGTAGATGAGTATTTATTCCCCAGCTGATTGCTTTGATCGGCTTCTATAGCAACTGATCGATAAGTTAAGTAGGTAATTTTCTTTCACCTCTACCATGTCCGGACCGTCGTCGTCGAGAGTGTTTACCATTCTGTTCGCGTTAAGCGATCTTCAATGACTATCTTGATTCTATAGGGACTTGTCAAGCTAAACAGTCGGCGTACGTTTGGTAGTAGCGTGACAGAGCACCAGTCAAGCAATTAGCAGGTGATAGCGTCCGTCAGAGTGGGTTTCACCTCATAGTAGAGGGAGCCGATCACAAAAGCGATCACATCGCTATGAAGCTGGGTACAATCGTTCTTTCCGACTTATCCCGTCCAGGAAGCCGACTCATCCTTGCAACAAACAAGCTAGGCAGACGACCCAAAACTCAATTGGGATACATGCTAGTTTCTCTGATTTCCTTCGTTTGGCCTCACCAGCTGACGAATGGGCTTCGATTAAATCACAGCCCAAGCCTAAAGCCTAATCCACAAGGCGCCCGCCATACCCAATTAGCTCAGCAGTAGCCAATGGAAACGGCAAACTATTGATACGTTTGGGCCGAGGGTGCAGTTCGTACCTCTGAATTTTAACCTTCTTCAGGGCACGACGCATTTCCCCTAATTCCCCAACTAATGACAGGTAACCTTCAAAGAGAATCAAAGCATAACCTGAGCTGACAACTACACCACTTCCAATGAGCTGTAGACTATCTTATCTTTCGTTTATAGGTCTCTTCTTCGACTAGTGTGGCATTTCGTGAACATCGGCAGCGACTTGCGATGTTTGCAGCAATTACTAGGCAGGCATAGTAACACTTCGTCTAACGATGATGTTCGTTGGCAAATGCATTGTGCAAGACGATTGCGAGTTCGAGGTCGTCTAAGGTGTTCAGCTAGTTGTTTTCAGCACCATTGTAGTCTGCCAGCACGTCTATTTGGCTTGACAGGTTTTTCTGAGAGCTAACACCGCGTTTGACACATTTCATGCCTGCAACCCTCGTGCCTGCACACAAACGTTTTATATGCAAGAAATACGAAGAACTTTACCGAAGTTCTTTCATGAGGCAAATGACACCATAGAGGAAATCAAACAACGTCACTGCGATTTTTAGTGTTCAAATAATACGTGTGACAACAAATGGGAATTGTTCAACTTTTTTATATTTTTCCTCGAAAAACCTGAAAAGTATGATATAAAATCAGAAAAACTCGATAAACTCAATCCGTTTGCTCCATAAAATTTGTTGGCATAGGAAGTATATTTGATGTGATTTTGGGAGAGTTGACTTTCAAATTGGTGTATCTATGTGAGTTTAATGGTGGAAAAAAAACTTTTTTCATTTTTTCCAATTTTTTTTTCCGGATGACCTTGATTTGTGGCGTAGTCTATTACATCTAATAAACATTGGAATTGACCTGCGATGTTTGTAGAAGTGATAGGGTAGGTTTAACACCTCGTCTATTACGATGTTTGTATGCAGGTGCATCATCCAATATGCGAGACACAACAAATTGAGCTGTACGACGCACTTACAGGGTGGCTAGCCCATTTTAACAACCATCATTGTGATTTGGAAGCATGTGTATTTGGTATGGAAGGTTTAGATAGGTGCTACCACAATTACTGACACTTATATCACACTTTCAAATTTGGGGTTCTGCACACAAGCATTGCATGTGCATATCATTTATGATTCTTCAATGATGTCTTTCATCACCTATATTGAACCTGAGAAAGAAACAAATTACACCACTGTGATTTATACCTTGAAAGTACCATTTCTAACAGCAAATGGGATTTTTATGAATTTTGTTGTGAAAATCTTTAAAGTGTGATACAAAATCAGCGAAAATCGGTAAAGACCTCTAATTAACTCCATAAAATTCTTTGGCATCAGAAGTATAGTAGATAAATATCTGGGCAAGTTTACGTTCAATTAGACGTAGTTTAAGCTACGGCACCCTACTTGCCCTACTTGCAGATGGATTGTTGTATGCAGTACTCACGATAATCATATTGTAATTCATGAGTAGGTCAATTATATCATCACGGCTATAATTAGATTATGCTATTCTACTGGCCACGAGACTTTCATGAACTCAACGGAGAAAGTGACATACTTAGGGCGCTTTTATGTGCGTTCTCGTACGAATCTTGCATGTAGTGAAGGAATCTTCTGGTCAAACTTATGCCATCAACAGAACAACTTAAGTGAGTTTTGAATCCAAATGTATGATCGGCACAGCCCAAATAGATGTACAATAGCAATTAGAAGATCTCTAGAGAGAGAAAAAATTTGGAAAAAAAAATTTGAAATCAAAATTTAAAATAATTTCTTTGACGAGCGGTGCAGTATGCAGGATTCGAAAAGATTGAGAACGACGTCTTAGACGAGTGGCCCGTGTTGGTATATGCAGGATGTAACCGGCAAAGCTAGCAAAGCTGCACATTTAACTTCAAACCCTACTTCATGGTTCATTCATCATAAACGTTATCGCCAAACGTATTGATTCCAATATGGGCCTTATTCGCACGGTGCGCGCGAGGGCCACTACTGCTAGCTCTAGTCAGCTATATAGCTTTGGAAAGCTATGAGTAATCTCGGCGTTTTATCGGTTGATTTGAGTGATGCGACGTCGACGGCTCTCAGTTGTCTTTCAATTTCAAAAAGCTAGTCGTTTTGTACACAAAGTGATCACCGTCTAACTGATTGGCCACAAAGGCTTATCATCGGCCCAAAGGAGACAAACAATGCCCTTACCTTCTAAACCACCCCCCCCCCCCNCCCCCCCCCCCCCTCACCAAAAGCCTCACCACCACCGCCACCAACAACTACTGAAACCCCCATAATTAGTATTCTTTAATTCAAAGGTCTATCCCCTCATTATACTCGTAAAGATAGATCTGGTAATCGTAAGCAACGGTGGGGGTGCGGCGGAACCCATACGGTAAATTAGTAAGATGTGAGCATGTCCCCAGGGCCCGCAACCGGCGACCCGCGCGCACACCATCTTATCGCAACCGGAAATCGAGCGCCTGGTACCCTACCCCCTCCCTTAATACCACATATACCCCGATATCCCGACATGACGGGCTCGAGGGCTCTGCTGCGATGGAGCTCCTCGAGCAGCGACGACGACGAGCTGATCGCCAACAACCCGCTCTTTCCCGCCCTCGCCCCGAGGCACCCGCTGGCGTCGCTGGGGGCGACCTCGGCGCTGACGCTGGCGTCAACCGTCGATGCCCGCGGCCTCTTTGGCGACCACGCCGCCCCCCAAACTTCCCCTGCCGAGCTCGACCCTACCGTGCTCGAGCTGATGGCCGACGCCATCGCTGGCGGCGCCGCGCTTCCCAACGGCGGCGACCACCGGTTCAAGTACTTGCGCTGGTACCAGCACTACGCCCAGACCACCGCCACACAAACCTCAAACGACGATGCCCTGGTGTTCCACTTGCGCCATCTCGACGACTACCACCGCTACGTGCGCCAGACCGAGCTCAACGCATGGATTGGCAACCAGATGCCCTCGGACAAGCTGAAGGTGTTGACCACCACTGAGGGCATACCCGACCACTTCTGCCGCACCGAGGAACCCCCCACAAGGCCGCCGCCCACCTACCGCACCTACAGCAAGAAGCTGGCGCTGTTTGTCGGCACCGACGACTTCACCAGCGGCGGCGACACCCCTTACAGCGTCAAGAGCGACGCCGACGCCGCCAGCGGGCTGGCGCCGCTGGTGTACCTCCAGCGGCGGCTTAAAATCCGCCACTTACAGATGATCTCGTTCGGCGGCACTTTGGGAGTGGGGCTTTTCCTCAACTCGGGCAAGGCGATCAACATCGCCGGCGGCTTCGGCGCCTTTCTCGCGTTTCTGATATGCGGTTTAATCGTCATCGCCACCCTTGTCCTGTTCTGCGAGATGGTGACGCTCGTGCTGGTGGTGGACGGGGTGCTGGGCCTCCTGCTGCGGTTCATCGACGACGCGTTTGGCTTTGCCGTCGGCTGGCTCTACTTCCTCAGTTTCGCAGTGGGACTCGCCGGCGAGACCGTCGCCTGCGTCATCTTGCTCAGCTACTACCCCTGGCTCCACATCCATGACAACGCCGGCAGCGCCGCCGGGTTCGTCACGCTTTTCCTCCTCGTGACGGTGGCGGCAAACTTGATGGACGTCCGGGTGTTTGGCGAGATCGAGTACATTTCGCTGTTTATCAAGCTCCTCTGCGCCCTCGGGCTCATCATCCTCATGATCGTCATCAACGTTGGCGGCATGGGGGGCAGCTACATCGGCTTCCGCTACTGGGACCACGCCCAGCTGGACTATGCCCACAACTTGATCTACGGCCTCTTCCGCCCCACGTTCAACTTGTTTGACGACGGGAGCAACGTCCACGACGGCGTCGGCGGCGCCCGCGGCCGGTTCATGGCGTTTATCGTCGCCCTTTTGGTGACGCTGTTCGCGTACCTGGGAACCGAGATCGTGTGCATCGCCGCCTGCGAGGCCCAGAACCCCCGTAAAGCCCTCCCCTCGGCCACTAAACGCGTGTTCTTGCGCATCATCATCTTCTACGTCCTTGCGGTGTTCGTGGTGTCGCTCAACATCTACGCCGGCGACCCCCGGTTGCTCCGCTACTACCTGGGCGAGCCCGGGGTCAGCGACAGCGACTTGGCCACCAACCCCATCATCGAGCACTTGGGGGGCAACCACTGCGGCCCCCAGGCCAACGTGTTTGCCGGGTTTCCCCTGGGGTCCCAGCTGCCGTGGAACATCGCCTTGCAGACGGTCAACCAGTGCACCGCTGGCGGCATCGTCAACGGCTTTCTCGTCTTTTTTGCCGTCAGCTGCGGCAACTCCCAGATCTACGTGCTGAGCCGCACCGTGTACTCGCTCGCCCTCCAGGGGAAGGCGCCCAAGATGTTGGGGTGGGTCAACCGCTACGGCATCCCCTACGTCGCCGTGTTGTTCCTGCTGAGCTTCGGCCTCTTGTCGTACATCTGTGTCAGCGAGAAGGCGACGACGGTGTTTCAAAACCTCACCCTGATCATCCTGCTGCTGGGGATCATGGTGTGGTTCGCCATGTGCTTGCTGTACATACGCTTCTACTACGGGCTCAAACGGCGCCCCGACATCATCGCCCGCGACGACAAGGAGTACCCTTACAAGCTGCCGTTCCAGCCGTACACGGCGATCTTCGGCATGGTGGGGCTGGCGCTCATTCTCCTCGCCATGGGGTACGTCGTGTTCTTGGGGGGCACCTGGGACACGTGGTTCTTCTTCTCGCTGTACGGGCTGTTGTTTGCCTTCGCCGTCCTCTACCTCGGCTACAAGGTGATCAAGCGGTCCCACATCCCCGCCCTCGAACGGCTCGACTTCGACACCGGGCGCACCGAGATGGACCGCTACATCTGGGATAAAGGCCGCGAGTACAACGGGCGCAGCTTCAAGGACACCTGTCGTCGGTTCGCCAACTGGATTGCCTGACCCGACCCTTATGTATTATTATTAGACGCTTCTAGACACCCACCCACCACATGAGTCCTCCTAGCGAAACTGTCAACTACAGAGTAACGTTCAAGCGGAGGCGATGACCGCACTTTAACCTTATCAGGGGAACCACAGCGGAGATGAAGTGGCGACATGGCGTAGTGTATTAGCCGTACAGCTTAAACAATGATTGCCACGTTGAAGACCACCATCCTCTCACTCAAATATCTATTTTCGTTTGTAAAGAAAACTGTGCCATAACCTAAAAACTTGAGATACGAGAGATTTCAAAGGAATACATGATTGCCTTGTGAAAGACCCGAACGAAGACAATGAACGAATCACCATGTAGAGTTACTGTGCTCGCATGGCAGTGAGCACGACGGCCACGGCCAGTTCTATCGCAGCTACAATGCCAGACCTTGATTAGAGCCCCATTTCCAGAGGTGTATAAGACGGCACGACTGTTGCCGATCTTGATATGTTAGTCAACGTCTTGTAGAGAGCGTTAGGTACCGTATTCCACCACAGAGTCTAGAGGCGTGCCTCTAGAAGCTTTCATGTTCGTTAGTCATCATCAAAGTCAGCGATGACGTTCTCTGACGTGATTTCGATCATACAGGCCTCGTCTGTTTGCCGATGGATTACGCATGCCATATATAGCCACACTCCCGTCGCCGCCTCACCATACCCCTCCCCCACCTCTAGCCAGCAACGGTAACAACCGAATATAAAAACCCTTAAACGGTCATCTCAAATACACGTGAGATGCCACTAACAGCCAACAAGCAGCCATCATTTACTAAGAGGCTGATGGTGGTGAAGCTCACATTAATATGGTGGCTATCCCAATTGGGTAAGTGCGGGAGCAGAGGCGATAGGCGACGAGGAACGCCGACACGGGCTCACAACTATTGAGACACGACACCCTTCCTCGACTAATATCCCAGTCAAACCGACAAACAACACGCCCTCTACGCGATACTACCACCAAATTTTCCCAGACAACCGAAAATACCACCGTCAGGGCTCGACCATCAAACCATAACAACAGCTCCTCCCCTTCTTATCTAGTGCTCTTTTGCTATATAGCCGCCCATTTCATCATTGCCGGGGGCGCGTGGAGGGGGGTTTTTCTCGAGTACCGCCCTCGGCCACTGTCTGCAGGCGCCGCCCCACGTACGAAATTAAAAACGTCGATCCCCGCCTACCACTTGATTCACCCTGATTAACGCTTGATCGCATGTCGTGGACGCCGACCGAGCACTTCCTCCGCGGGAAGATCATCAAGCCGTTTCTCCCCTTCGAGAAACACCCGAACCTCTTGAACGACCACTTGCGCAACTTGTACCCTGGCGACGAGGTCTACATCTTCGAAACCAAAGGTACCCGCTGGGCGAGAGGGTATGTGTGTCTGAAGCCGTTCCCCAACGACTTCACCATCACCTCGGTCAACTTGGACGAGTTGCCGGGGATCAACATCAACGTGGTGGTGTTCCCGTTGAAGTATGTCAAAGTGATCGAACAATTGCCCATTGTCAACATCACCGTCGACCAGCAGTTCAACAACGTCCACCGTACCAACGGCGACGTCGTGCCGACGATCCAGGACTCGGAGATCGCCCACCGCCAGGCGTTGGGCACCGCCGACGACTTGCAACGCGACCCGAGGGAAATGGTGCCTCCTTTACCGCTGTACAAGTTGGATAAAGGCCATGACTTGATCATGGAGATCAAGCACACGTTGGAGTTGCTCATGTGCCACATCTTCGCCTTGTACTCCATCGGCGAGTTCCGCTTGTTCCACAAGTTGCTGGCGATCTTCTACTCGTTGCACGAGACGCGGGTCAAGTTGATGAACTCGTTGTTGACCACCAACGAGATCCAGGTCGCCAAGGAAACGGCGACGTTCTTGCTCAACAAGATCCCCAAGAAGTTGGCGCTGCGCGCCGCCCGTCTCAACGCCACCCTGTACGACTTGGACAACCTGTACACCGACATCTCCGGTTACAAGGCCATCCTTGCCCGCGACGCCTTCCTGGGAGAGTTGCTTAGCAACGCCAACGCCAGCCCCTCGCGCATCGCCTTCAACCAGGTGTTGTGTTCGTTGGAGCCCAACTTCCCCATCAACATCCACCACAACCAGCAGCAGTACCTGTTGATGCCGGCGCCCAACCGCAAGTTGAACCACGAGCCGCCGTCGCACATTTTGGTTGACTTCAAGCTGGTGCTGGGGTCGTCGGGGTACCAGCCCCCGGGGTTTGCCGGGATGATCGCCTACCTCTACATCCGTAACAACCGCAAGCGGTTGACGGAGGCGTTTGCCGTTCACACTAACTCCGTCGACGAGTTGGTCCAGGTGGAGAAGATCCTGGCGGCGCTTTTCCGCAACATCCCCTCGCTGGAGATCGAGAACCTGAGAGTGTACCTCGTCGCCGTACTTACGGAAGAGGTCGACTTATCGCAAAAGACGCAAGGGGTGCGCCTGGTGCGGCGGGTGAAGAAAGGGGTCGCTGCCGGCGTCACCGACATCACGCGGATCTTCTCGCGCAACCAGGGGGCGTTGGAGCTGGGCGAGGCCCACCAGTTCACCATCCGGTTGTTTGGCTCGTACATGAACCACAAAAAGGGCCACCGCAACGACGACTTGGCGCTGGCGGGCGTCATCAACAACGGGTGGGGGGAGCTCGTCGACCGCATCATCGCCGGCGCCAACCACGGGGTGGCGGTGAACCCGCGGGCGGAGAAGTTAGTGGTGCTGGTCAAGGAGTTCAAGCACCAGTTCTCGGCCCAGCTGTACAACCCAGTGACGCTGGCGCCGATCTCGCGAATTAAGCCCATCTTCTTCGACCCCCTCGCCGAAAACTACGAGCGCATTTACTTGACCATGGGCAAGATCTCCTTGCTCAAGCCGTCGCTGAAGGACGACTTGTTGACGTTCGAGGTGCTGACCCCCAACAACGACCTCATCACGTTTGCCAAGGCGCTGAACCAACAGGAAAAACGCCTGTGGCAGTTCATCTCGGTGTTCCCCGACGAGGTCATCGGCGAAATCGTCAAGGTCAACGGGGTGTCGTTGAAGAACCCGTCGAAAAAGCTCCCCAAAGAGGATTACATCGTGCTTGAATTGTTCGTCAACGGGGTGCTTGCCGGGGAGGGGAAACTCTTGTATAAGCTGGGCAACCGCCTCGTCGAGTTCAACAAGAAAAAGACCCACACCATCGACATCGTCTCCGTCACCACCAAGTTGCCCATGGCCCAGCTCGAGTTGCTGACCGAGTACATCGGCAAGATCTACAACCTGGACGTGCTGATCGACCACATCTTCCAGTTTGAGCGGTTCTTCAAAGTGGGGCAAAAGGGCGTCGACGAGTTGCTGAACTCGTTGGTGGCGTTCTGCAAGTTGGACATCTCCCAGTTGGTCAAGTACTTCCCCGAGCTCTTGCTGCTGTTGTACCTGATTGTCGACATACTGAACGCTCAGCCGCCGCTGCCGCTGATCGAGATCCTCCAGGACAATGCGTTTAAGGCGATTGTCCATCTCTTGGACACGGTGTTCGGCAAGCAGGACCAGTACTTGTACCTTATGGACACGTTCACCCACCGCTACACCAACTTACCCCCATTGGGGGTGTTTTTGCTCACCAAGATCTCCGAGATCTTCTCCCGCGCCGAGCTGAACTGGAACCTGATGTGCCGGCTGATGTGCCGCATCTTGCTGTTGTTGCTTAAGCTCGCCATCCACTCCGTCGACCCGTCGGTGTCGGATAAGTTCATGAAGGCGTTGGGCCTGTTGTTCAAGCTGGCGGCGTTCTTCTTGCTGATCCAGCTGAACGCGTTGATCAACGACCAAATCATGATCTTGGAAATCATCGACTACGTGCTCATGTTCCGCGCCCACTTGGACGAGCTTAAGATTTTCCGCTTCATCGTCAACTTTATCGACTTGATTGGTACTCGCGGGTTGGGGGCTAACGAAGACGTCTACAACATGAAGAAGCCCCAAGGGGTGCAAAAGGACCACAAAATCGTCATCCTGAAGCTCATGTTGATCCACCGCTTGTTCAACACCCTGGTGGCGGAACTGGCGGAAACGAGACTGGTGTTGGTGGCGAAGTCGGTGACGTGGGCGATGCAGGTGTTGCTTGGTCCCACCGACATCGAGGCGACGAGATTGGCGTGCTCGGTGTTGAGCGCGGTGTGCTCTCTCCTCTGGGACACCGTGTTTGAAAAGGGCCTCACCGACGAGATCGACTTGTGCTACTCGTTGCTGAAGCTTTTGCCGGCACTTCTGCGCACGTTCATCAAATACAACAAGTTCACCCGCGGCAACGACTACTTCAAGCTGCGCCGCACCTTCACCCACATCTTCCCCACCGAGTACCCATTTAAGGAAGTGCTGATTGACCCCATCGTCAACGACGAGGTGCTTGTGGAGGTGTTGGTGGAAATCTGCACCGTGTTCTGCTTCATTGCCAAGATCGGTAAGGCCACCGCCGGCAACGAAGGGTTCTCCAAGATCCTCAACACCAAGATCACCAACGACTTCTTCTTGCCCGACCAGTACCTCGCCCACGACTTCCAAAACGAAGATATCATCACCCTTATCTCGGGGGTGAAGTTGATGAGACAAGGTAAGTTTTTCCCCGAAGACAAGTGGCTCACTCTCTACGCCATGATCGCCGAGGGCCTGTTGACGGCGTTGGAGCTTGTGCGCCCGTTGCTCATCCACTACTATGTTCCCGCCATCGAAGAGCTGGAAATGTTTGACCGGGTGCTTTGGGGTAACTACCTCAAGACGTTGTTGAGACTCGGGACGTTGGCGCCCGTATCTATCGAACACTTGCTGAGCGTGCCCAAGAAGGCGGCGTTCCAGATCACGGGTACCATGCGTGACCGTATTGCTTACTTGGTGAATGAGGCCTGGGATGCCTTAGCCTGGGACGCTACCAACGAAGACATCTTGCGTTTCAACTTGAACAAGTTTGGCGGTTACCAAGTGGAGTTTATCAACCACGACTACGGCATTTTGCAAGACCTTATGTTGTTCCTGTTGCAACGTAACTTCGAGTGTCAGTCAGTGGGGGTGAAGATCTTATGGCTGATTGTCATTTCCGAGTACATCTTGCTGGACACCGTCGTTGACATTGAGAAGGAGTGTCTTGTGGGGTTGCACGACATCTACTACCGCAACGCCTACAAGCCCAGTAAGCTGGAACAAGAACGGTTTATCGAGCGGATGAAGGTGACCATCTGCTTGGACCGCGAAGACGAAGCATTCGGCCTTGTGTACAAGTTTATCGAGACTCTCCGTGGGTTCATGGACGTGCTCAACGACTTGAATGCGGTCCCGGTGGGACCTGAGTTTGACGACGACCGCACCTTCCACAAGCTCAACATCAAGGCCTACCTCAAGAACGCCAACAAGCCGGAGTTGTTCCATTCGTTCATCAACTCGATGTACGAAGAGCACTTGGCCCGCAACGACTACATCCAGGCGGCGCTCTCGCTCGAGTTGTTGGCGCTGACCTACCAGTGGGACCACAACACCATTTTCCCGGCGCTGTTCCGCCCCAAGTTCCCCGAGCAAACGGCGTTTGAACGGAAGGAAACGTTGTACAAGTTGATTGCCAACAACTACATCAAGGGCAATTCGTTGGAACGGGCCACCGACACCTACAATGAGCTTTTGGACGCCTACAACAAGCACACCTACGACTTGAAGCTGTTTGCCTACGTCCACAACAAGTTGGCCAAGTTGTACCTTGACCTCGAGCTGATGGACAAGTTGCTGCCGCTGTTCTTCAGGGTGGCGTTCATCGGCGCCGGGTTCCCCACCAACATTCGGGGCAAGGAGCAGATTTACGAAGGGTTGCCGTTTGAGCACATCACCCTGATCCATGAACGGTTGCTCCGCTTGTACCCCGGGGCCCGCATCGTGCTGGACGACGAGGAGGCCCGTCGTTTACGCGAACGTATCCAGACGGGGCGTTACTTACACGTGCAAACGGTGGAGCCGGTGGCGGAGATCTCCGACAAGTTGTTCAACACGTCGATCGGGGTGCGGCAATACGCCCGCAACAAGGACTTGCGCTTTTTCACTACCAACCGCAAGATCCCGGGGCTGAGCTCGGTGTTTGACTTGTGGACGGAGGAGACGACCTACGAGACCTACCTCTCGTTCCCGACATTGATGAACCGCCTGGAGATCAAGGCGACCACCGTGGTGAAGTTGCTGCCGTTGGACAACGCCATCCGCACCGTGGTGTCGAAGAACAACGACCTCGTCCAGGTGGAGCTGATGATCAACATCGCGTTCGAGGAGAAGACCGACTACACGTCGTTGATGAACGACTTGCTGCGCCACTTGGCGGGCACCGTCGACTCCCCCGTCAACGGGGGCGTGGGCCAGTACCGCACTTTCTTCTCCGACGCCAAGTACAACAGTAAGGAAGAGTACGCCGCCAAGATCCGCATTCTCCGCCTGGCATTCAACGACTTGACCATCATCTTGAACCGGTGCTTGCACTTGCACGGTAAGCTCGTGCCGCTGACGATGAAGGGGTCCCACGAAGTGTTGGTCGAGTTGTACCGCAAGAACTTCAAGGAGGACATCGAGGCGTTGAAGATCAGCACCGACTACGAGAACCTGATCTACAACCACACCACGCCCCACTTCCAGCCGCAAACGCTGATTATGAGCGACAAGCGCTCGGTGCTGGGGATGCTGAGCTCGAACAACACCACCGGTGGTTCCGGCCCCCTGATCCCGGGGTCGCTGATCCCCGGGTCGATCTCGGGCCCGTTGTTGCCCGGTAACCACGCCCCCGGGTCGCGGTTGATCCGGACCCAGCTGACGACGTCGCTGGCGTCGCTGGCACTGGGGGTGTCGGGGCTTTCGTTTGATAAGAGCTCCTCGGGCGTCGACCAGTTGAGCATGGGCACGGGGCTGACCAAGAAGCGCACCGCCTTGAACTGGAGACTGATGGTGAATTAGTGTGTAGTTTATGAATACATATGACTGGTTGAGTTATTATTACCGCTACAAATTATGGAATAGATCGAAACCACTGGCAACCAGACTTGCCTTTGAAACTGTTTAATTTACACATATCACCTCAATGCACGATATTTTCAATGACGGTACTATCGTCAAGCGCATACGTAGCATTGAAATCATCGCAGATGCTTGCAAACTTGTGGGCAGGTTCTATCCCCACAGTTTCGATGAGCAATATGACGGATCAAGTTGCCATGCCGATGATAGTCAACCTCAATGGTGTGTAAAACAACCCAGATTATATTCAATTGACCAGAGGGACTCCAAACTATCATGATAGAGTTTCCTCTCAAACTGGAGGCTGTGGTGGGCGACAGAATCAATCGAATGCTTAGACAACTGATGCCAGAAAATTGAGGATGTAATCGAGTGTCTGAAAGGTCTGGAATCTCGCATTTGGCTGATTTCTCAGAATTCACTTTCTATGGACTCGCATTGATAGTCATTGTTAAGACCAGTGACTCGAACAATAGAACTGTTAGCGAGCTTCGGGCATAGGTAATTTCAAGTCAAGGGTTCAGCGCATTTTGTTTTGCCTTCATTATGAAAACGTAGGGTTTATGGAAGCGCAATGGTGTCCATATACAAACAATGTATAATTGCGCACGCGAAAGCTATAATCACGTATGCGGGATAAATAGAAAAATTCGTGTATGCCTCAAATACCTGAAATAAGTCGTGTGTGTATCAAGAACCTCGAATTCAGTTTGCAAAATTCGTCTCTGTCAACTCTGTTAGTTGTCTCCTTAAGGTTTGTACGAACACTCTCTGCGAGCTCAACGCAACAGATATATACACCTGGCAAACATACGACAAAACCCGCCAACACCATTGCCAATCGTTCAAAACTTTACTAATTAAAATATACTTAATTTCAATTCCATTCATTAAGACCTACGGGCTTAAATGTGAATCGATTACAGCAAACGCTACGAACATTACAAAATCTATTTACTCAATCCAGTTGAAGAAACCCTACAAGCCTGACCATATGGACCGAGATTTGATGACCAGTCCCAATCAGGACATTATCCGAAATTAATGTCAAAGGACATTGTCATTAATCTCCGTCGGATAAGTAGTGAGGGGCCACGCGGATCTGACCGAAAGACCCTTCTCACTGCGGTGGTGCTAGCGGGTTTTCCCACCTGCATATAGTGACGCCGCACCGGGGTGTAGCCGAAATTTTTCGTTGGCGCTCTCACCTCACAAACCCACACCCTTTTCAACCCCATCAAACCATGTTCAGATTGGCCCTCCGTTCCGCCGCCCGTCCCGTGTTCAGAGCTCCCGTGGCCCTCAGAACCTACGTGGCTCCCCCTATCAGCATTGACGAAGTGACCAAGAGAGCTTTCGAAGCCCTCAAGACCGTCGCCGCCGTCGACGAATCGAAGTTGTCGCTCGAAGCCAACTTCCAAAAGGACTTGGGCCTCGACTCGTTGGACACCGTCGAAGCCTTGGTTGCTCTTGAAGAAGAATTCGAATTGGAAATCCCCGACAAGATCTCCGACGAAATCAAGACCGTCGGCGAAGCCATCGACTACATCTACGCCGAAGAACAAAAGTTCTAAGCTGGGCACCCACGGACACCACGCCCCTTTGTAAATAAAATACACACAATAATCTGAATCTCACACTTTAATAGGTCTTCTTCTTTGCCACCCAATTTACTCTGTTTGCTTACTTATACTCAGGCCTATATCGAGATTTTCATTGGTGCGAGCGATCACATGACCTGAGCCACGTGACAAGGATCGATCAGGGCTGTTTTTGTCTTTGCTGTAGTGATCGCCGCACAGTTAGTAGCGCCCTGTCGTCATTAATACTCCGTTACTCATCAGGAACCCCCAAATCTGAAATCACTGTTTTTACCTGCATTAACCAGACTCGACTCAACTTCTCTTCCAGTCCCCTATTCCAATTATAACGTGATCAATGACGCTCCCAGAAGAAAACGATGTGCTTTCCCATACCGAGGATGAGGCCACCGATGACGAGGAGATCGACGCCTCCCAGGAACCATTACCCGTCGAGTACCCCGGGACGGTGATTCCCGACCCCCACCCGGAGTCAATTGACGCTGACCAGGACTTGACCGCCGATATCCCCGTCGACACCGACTACATCGAGTTGATCCACTTGCGGATATCGAGCCTTGAAGACCTCCACCTCGAACGGTTCCCCAAGCTTGAAGCCATCAACTTACGCCAGAACTTTATCCCCTCGATCGTCGCCTTAAGTGGCGTCTCCGACACGTTGGAGGAGCTCGACTTGTACGATAACCGCATCAACCACATCAGCAGCAGCATCAAGCACTTGGTCAACCTCCAGAACCTTGACTTCAGCTTCAACAATATCAAAAACATCAAGAACATCGAGACGTTGGTCAACCTCGAGAACTTATACTTTGTCCAAAATAAGATCAAGGAAATCAAAGGGTTGGAAACATTGACAAAGCTCAAAAACTTGGAATTGGGCGGCAACCGCATCGAGGAGATCTCGGAAACGATGCATCTGCTCCCGTCGTTGACCCAGCTCTGGTTGGGTAAAAACCGCATCCAAAGACTTCAAAACTTGGACCACCTTCACAACTTACGCATCTTGTCCATCCAAAGCAACCGGATTACGAAGATGGAAGGCTTGGACAAGTTGGTGAATTTGGAGGAGTTATACCTCAGCCATAACGGTATCGAGAAGATCGAAGGCTTGGAGAACTGTACCAAGCTTCAAGTGCTTGACGTCACCCGCAATCGCTTGACCCACCTTGATAACCTCCAACACTTGACTCAACTCACCGACTTCTGGTGTTCTTATAACAAGATCTCCTCGTTTGAAAATATCGGCCAACAATTGGGTAAACTTGCCGAGTTGGACACCGTTTATTTCGAGGGCAACCCGGTGCAAACGGAAAACCCCACCGCCTACCGCCGTAAGCTTACCTTGTATCTTGGCCCCAGTCTTCAAAAGATCGATGCCACTTACATTAAGGCCTAACCACAAATAGACGTTTTACGATTTACGCTATAATTGTATATTAGGTGACTCATATATAGTCATTGTTCTTGCGACAACGAGTTGGCGACCTTAGTCAGAGTCGCTGGCGTCTTCATCATCGCTGGTGTCTTCATCGTCGCTGGCGTCTTCATCGTCGCTGAAGTCATCATCGCTTAAGCCTCCCCGCTCACAGAAGTTTTCGTACGAAATGTTTTGTAAGCGACTGAAAACTCTAATCATCTTTTTCAATTTAGGCGTATACTTCATTGGCAAGCAGGCATTGCCCTCGTCATTGTTCAACACCCAAATGATGCCGCCCGCCTTGTTGCGGTAGGTTTGGTGGTTATACGTCAAAACAGATTTGGACCCTTCTTTGCCAAGATCGACAAAATCATAACCACTCTTGATGAGGTAGCGTTTGGGGATCCAAGCCGGGTGACGGTCCAGTAATTTGAACGAGTCTATACTTTTGACATCTGTGAGAATACACTCAGCTTGCATTTTGAGACCGCGGTTCTGGTCGTCGTAAATCGTGAGGAAACCCGATCCGTTCGTGGAGACGTTGCCCCACGGCACTTTGATCATGTGAGGTTTCACCTTTTGGAAATCACTCAACATCAGTTCTTTCAGCAGGTAAGCATGAGTGCCGTCATCGAAGTAGGCCATGGGCACTTGCGATTCAATCGCAAACATGATGGCATCAGTGTATACCTTGTCGATGAAGTCGTTGAGATCGCCAACAAATTCTACGACTTCGTTGGGTTTGACCGCCATACTGCCGACAATCTGATCAACTTTGTGCAACACTTCCTTGGTCGTTGCCGTCTGGTGCTTGCGGGCTTCACTTATGCTGGTGAACTGGGCCTGGTACACCTTGCCGAAAATGCGAGTCAAGGCATCTTTAAACGACTCCTCAGGGGGTATTGTGTAGCAGTCATCGAGGAACTCAATGGTATCGACGGCAATAACATAGAAGTGGTCGACAATGTTATTTAAGCGTGACTCGTAGTCTGAGGGCGAGACAATGTGATCCTCAAGGGAGGTGGTTTCATCATCAGAGGCTTCATCACTGGAGGCGTCATCTTCTAAGCTGTGAGTAGTCTCCACGGCGGTGACTGGTGGCGTCGCTTGTTTCGCATTGTTGCCGGTGGCAGCCTTCAGCGTGAGGTTGCGGTAGTATTCCCATTCCTGGGCAATGGTGGTATTCTGGGTCAGCTTAGTGGTGGTAGCTGACTTGGGTGAAGGCGGAGGGGTGAAGTAAGCGACGTTGGCCAACGCCTGGTGCTTCAATGTCAACGCCGTGTGGCCGTCCCCACCGAACCAGTCAGGAAGGAGATCCAAAAGGGCCACAATGATGCCCCGGACAAGCGCCCCCGTACTCTCGTCACGCCGGTGCTGCTTGATCAATAAGCCTACGGCGTCGCGAAGCGGGGTCAACCGATTTTCGTAGGTGGCCTCAAGCACGTCCTCCTGCGGGAAAAACCGTTTGAGGAGCCCGAGCGCCTGCCAGGGAGACTGGAAGTAGTCGAGATAACGATAGAGTCGTTCGAGTAGCAGCCACGACTCTCGCAACCACTCAGGATGGGGCTGGTGCTGATGAGGGTATTTATCGTTTAAAGACTCCATCTCACTCTCGAGGTCCAAGTAGATGCCGAGAGTGATGGCGTCGATGGCGTTGCGCAAGTACTGTTGAGCTCCGAACTGTATCAGGTTAGCCTCCTGGAGTATCCGTGAGTGGGTGGTGTGGCGAAGGGGCTCAAGCGTCGGTTGGAGCCCCTGGTTGAACTCCTTGGCCTTCCCCTCAGTGTCAGCGATTAAAGCATCTAGCCGTAACTGCTTTAGTTGTTTAAATACCTCGAGTAAGGCGTGTTCTGGAGGTTTGGGCGCATTAGTAGGCGGCTGGGACCGCGACTGTTTGGGCTTGGCCAGGGACTTCGGCTTCGGGTTCCGTGTCCGTTTGCGGGTCTGCAGTGGTCGGGACGACCCCGGTGACGGCCCCCGAGTATTTGGTGATGCCGTCGACGGCGGCTTGGGAGGCATTGGGTGACGAAGTGTACGCCTAAAGGGTTGATGTGGTAAATATTGGGTGTGCGAATAGTGTTGACGGACTAGGGGCACTATGGTGGATTGATATAAGTGACGGTTGAAAAGAGAAATGGAGTTTTGAATGCGGTTATTGGTAAGAGTCTGGCGTAATCAAACTCTGGGAATGCTGGTAACTTGCATAAAATTGACAGAATTCGAGTTACTGATGGTGTGGCTGTAGCGTGCGATGTGCATAACAACCACGGGCTCGTGTGCGGTTCTATAGTGTAGTGGTTATCACTTTCGGTTTTGATCCGAACAACCCCGGTTCGAATCCGGGTAGGACCTCTTTTTGACCATGCCCACGACGTAGAAGTTTGATGTTATTAATTCATATTTTGTCTTCTTCATTGGTCATAAACGTAAATTCAATTAAAGGTTCACCTATAGAGCTATTCCTCGTCGTCCTTGACGTCGACCGACTTCACCTGGTCCAACATCGCCTGCAACCGCTTCGCCGCCTCTTGGTGGTACTCGACCTGCGCCTGGGCCAACTGCTTGAGCAAGTCGACGTTTTTCAGCGGCTGCAACAACCGCTTCATCTCCACCACCGCCACCTCGGTCGCCAGCACCAACGTGTCTTCCTTGGCGATCAACTCTTCGTTCTCTTCGTCCTCCTGGTGCTTGGCTCTAAACAGGTCGAACTCGGCCCGCGCCGCGTACACTTTCTTGCGCAACTCGTTCACCAGGATGAACTGATGGTTGAGCACCTGCACCAACTGGTGCGACACCTCGTTGATCTTCTTGTCCTGGTCGAGCCGCGCCAACGCCACCTCGGTGTACGACGACGACATTTGCATCAACACGAGGGCGATCGGCGAGTCCAGCTTCTGCAATTCGTCGGCGTTGGTCTGGGCAATCGTTGCCAAGTGGCCGTACAACGTCTTCGGGATCACCACTTGCTGGATGTGGTACTCGTCTTCGGCGGGGTTTTCCTCCGGCTGGTCGCCGCCGCCAAGAATGGCCTGTTCAAACTCCTGGGGGCTGGCGGCGTTTTTCAACTGGTTGAACTTGTTCAGAATCGCCCCGCTGACGTTGGCGTCGCGCAACCGGTTGATGGCGTAGTTGCCCGGGGGGTAGTCGTAGCTCACTTTGGCGTAGGTGTCGTTATCGAACTGGATCAACTCCTGGTACAATCTGAGCAAGGCGTCGCACTGGCGCTCCAACTCCAAGTAGTCGGCGGGCAATTCCGACACCTCGGCGTTGCCCTGGGCCTCCAGCGCCAACTGCTGGAGCTGGGCGACCTGGTTATTGATCATCTGCCCCGTGCGCTCGGCAAACGGCTGGATGTCTTTGGACACTTTGTTGAACAGCTCCTTCACCAGCTCCATCGTCGGGAGCGAGTTCTGGAGCGACTCCAAGCTGAACGAAGGGAACTTGAACGACATTGGTAGCGTTGTCAATACACTAGGGACAAGTGAGTTTTTTGGTGAGGGCGTCTGCCTCCGCAGTTTATCGTTATTGGTCACGTGAGTTGAATTGTCTCTATGTCTCTGTCCTTTCCCTGGGCGCGTACCGCCTCGCGACTAAAAAAAGGGTGTGACACTAGATTAACCTTATCGGAATTCGATAACCACACGTGACTAGCATTCAAAGAAATGGAGGTGTCAGACTATAAGGCTTTTTAGATTGGTGGAGGAAAGACTTGGCAGTAGACAGGGTGTAAACTCAAATGAGGCTAGGGAAATCTAACATCGTTTGCGGCACCAGACTAATAGATGTCGACAGATACTCAATTAACTGCCTATACCCATCGCTTTGACAAATAGCTAAGGCGTTTTTAAGAATGTGTTCTCTCAAACTGAATTGGGACCGCCACCTCAAAATATTGTGTAGTCATTATGCTATATTATAGGGCTAGGGCTAGTAGACCATTTCCATATCGCCACGGGTGACGCGGTACTCCTTTTCGCGGGCATCGATATAAGTAAGGTGGCGCACCCACGCCTTATTGAACTCGATGTCGTCAAACTTGTACAAGTCCTTCGCCGCCAGCTGGCGCATGAGGTCGAGGTGGTCATCCAGCGACAACGACGGGTTTTCCACCACGATCTGCGTCAACAAGTCGCTGAGCAGCGGGTAGCGCTGGTTGTCGGCCAGGGTGACGAAGTCGGGGTCTTCTTCCAGCTTGAAGAAATACCCCTTAGTGTTGCGATAATAGGGCTTTTCCAACAGCGTCAGGTCGTGGCAAATGTCCAAGAACGGACCCCCCAGGGCATGGACTATCGGCACCGCCCCGCCGTGGATGTACTCGACAACCCCGATACCAAAGTGCTCGTTCCACATGGCGTTGATGCCAAATTTAGCCCGGGCAATGTACCCTTGGAGGTCTTCGTAGCTGCAGTCGACGGCGAACTCGACGTCGAGCTCCAACTCCTTGACCAACGCCTTAAGCAGGTGCAAAGTGGCGGTGTCGGACTCGGTGCGGCACAGCCCCACCAACACGAGTTTGGGGATGGCCAGGGGCTTTATCGAGGTCGCCTGCAGCAAGAACCGGTGGTACTCTCTGACGACGAGGTCGTGGCGCTTCTCCGGGCGGAACTGAGCCACGTACACCATGGTGTTGGTCTTGGGCTCGCGGTCGCTGCCTTCGGGCATCGCCATCTCGCCACACGGCGGGTAGACGATTTCCATCACCGACGATGAATTGAGGCGCCACACCTGTTTCAAATGAGTATAGGTAAACGTGCCGTTGCAGAGGGTCACCTCCACCAGCGCCCCGAGGATCATATACGTGTAGTAAAGCACCAGCCAGTACCAGAACTTGGCGACGGCGGCGACGTCGTAGCCGTGAGTAAACACCTCCGCCATCCGCCTGATGCGGAGCTTGGCAAACATATCCGATTGAAGCACCGGGTAGTGGACGTAGGCGATAATGGGGATGCGGAGCCTCAGCCCCACCACCATGTAGGGGCCGGGAAGCCCCTGGGTGTCGACCCACACGTCCGGAGTAAGCTCAAACAACGCCTCCGCTCCAAGTAAAAAACTGCCCACAAGCTGGCCGGCAAGCGTAAACTGTTTCCAGTGGTCGATCCACGAATTGAACCGGCGCAAGTAGATGAACACGCACCGGGCCTCGTCGACGGATATGCCAAACTTTGCTCTGACTTTGGCAAAGATCTCGAGGGGCTTGGCGTCGCTGGTGACGTAGATGGCGGCGATGTGTTTGTCGTCGGCGATGAGGGTCGCCTTCACCGCCTGCCACAACACGCGCTCGCCGCCGCCGCCGTTATTGGCGTAGGGATGAAAGAAGCCGTAGATCATGCGGCGGCGGGGGTCGTCGGGAGCGCGGCGGGTCATTTCCCGGACGAACTCGTCGCGGTTGTCCTTGTCGCCGGGGAAGATCTTGAGGCGGTTATTGGTGTAATTGGTGTAGTACGCCGGCTGTTGCGACGCCAATATTAACCGGCGGCGGTACAGCAGCCGTTTCATGCCGCATTTCAAGTAGATGGGCTTGGGGAAGTTGAGCACTTTGTCGATTTTGTCTCGCCATTCCAACGGGGGCACAAAGAGGAACCGGGAGAGCGACAGGGCGAGGGCGGTGTACACGGCGTAGAGCGCACCCACCGCAACGAAGAGCCAGTACCACATAAACAGGAAAACAGGCGGAGTGGCGGCAGCGACGAATTTGACGGCGGCAACGGCAGCGACGGGATATTTAATCACTGAGGCGACTGCCACTTCGGGTCTGGCCGAGCGTGTCACGTGAGCCAGCGGCGACAAAATGTCTGAGATAAGGTAAAGGAAACCAAAGGGAAACCAAAGGGAAACCAAAGGGCAACCGCAGGGCGGTGAAAGGGTTCTTACAAGGGGGGGGGGGGGGGGGATAGCAGGCTATTTTTNGGGGAGGTGATAGCAGGCTATTTATATTGCTAGGTTAGGCTTTTCCGATATCCGTGTCGCCATTTACTGATGGTAAGAAATACTAGCACCCCGGGAATTGCCGACACTTTCCAATACTAACTGATTAGCCGCCCGCCACGTCTCGTCCTCGCCACGAGGCTGGGTCGGTGTTTTCTTTGCTGCACGGGTGTTTACCTAGTGCGATTGGGTTCCCCACACAGCAGCGATAAAAGCGGGGACCGCAGGGTTACGACTTACCTCAGGCCTAAGCGACAGCAACCATGACCAAATGGGCCAATTAGTCAATTGTAAGCATAGCTCACCCTAGCAGATTAATTATAATTATAATTACTCTTTGTTTGTGCCACAAGTGCCACAAACGGGGTCTCGGTGCCGTACCACTCTCTGTGTTACCTCTGTGTTACCTCTGAGCCCTGGGACAATCATTAGCCCACCAGCCGTGGCTCGGGAAAATCTACCTGACTCCTTAACCTAAGCAAACCCCTTTACCCGTCAATTGACGATGAGAATCCCGGTGAACGCGGTGGTGTTTGACCTCGAAGGCACCCTCATAGACACCAACGACCTCCACCGGCAGGCGTGGTGCGAGGAGATCTCGAAAGCGCCGGCGGCGACGGCGGTGACGTGGCGCCACATCGACCACCTGCTACGCCAGGGGATGCTGGTGGCGCTGGTCTTCCGCTACCACTTCCCCCACCTCCCGCACGACCGCGACCTGGTGCTGGCGTGGGTCCAGCTGATGGCGGTCAAGTACCACGACCACACGCGGCCCATCGCCGGCGTCACCAGGTTGTTGGACGCGTTGAACCACCACCACATCCCCTGGGCGGTGGTGTGTGACGCCCCGCAGTATATCGCCCAGATGTGGCTCAGCAAAGTCTACGGGCGCCCCTTGCACGCGCCGGTGTTGATTCTGGAGGAACGCCTCCGCCAGTTGCCGCCGCTGCCCGAGGCCCACTTGTTGGCCATCGACGCGTTGGCCGTCGACGGACCCGTGGTGGCGTTCGAGCTGGACATGCTTGGCACCTGGGCCGGGGTGCTGGCGGGGTGTGAGGTGATCGCGGTGAAGCTGGACCGGTGGGTCGTCGACCTCCGCCAGGCGGGGGCGACGTGCCTGGTGCCCGACTACGACGGCGTCGACGTCGTCCCGCTGGCCTCGGGCTACGACATCGAGATCGTCAAGGCGGTGATGTGACCGCCATCAACATTTGAGCTACACACAGAGAAGATATAAGCATTGTCCTTGCAAAATAAAGACACGCTAGACAAAGAGATAATGCCGGGCTGTGTATTCATTGGGTATTAGTATATATCAGTAGACATCACATTGATCAGGCGTCGGCAAAGTCGCCCATGTTCTCGTGGAACTTGTTGTCGCGGTCGCGGCGGCGCTTCTCCGCCCGCTGCTTGTCGTTCATCTCGTTCATCTTGCTGAGGGCGTCGTCGACCAAGTCGGTGTAGCCGGCGTCGTCGAGGCGCAGCTCGTCGATCTCCAAGTGGCGGTGGTGGCTGACGTCGTCCTTGAGGATGTCGCGCAAGCTCTCCAGCGCCACGAGCTGGTGGTGCAACCCAAACAGGAAGCACCACTTGAGCGAGCGCAACCGCAGATACATCCCCCACGTGTCGATGGGCCACAGCTTGTACTTGGAAAGCCGGAGGGTGACGTTGGGGAACAGGGCGTTGATGATCTCCATCCCCTCGGGCAGCCGCTTCAGAAGCTCGGCGCGGGTGACGGGGTTGGTGTACGCCTTCATCAGATTCAAAATGTTGCGGAACACCGAGTGCACCAGCTTGCGGTCCTTTTTCAGCACTTTTTTCGTCAGCAAGTTCGCCAACCGGTCAAAGATGGCAAAGAGCTGCTCCTGCTCGTAGTAGGGGGCGTTGGTGTTGTACTCGTCGTCGTCGGCGTCGTCGTCTTCGCCATAGGTGTATACCTCGTAGATCACCGCCACCACCCGCGCCGCCGCTTTAGCAATCTCGGCGTCGGCGTCGTTGTCGACCAACGGCACCAATTTAAGCATAAAGTCCTCGACGAGCTCGTTGAGGTACTCTCCCCGTGAAAGCAACGTGAGCACGGTGGCCAACCCGTGGAGCGCCGCCACCGCCACCGCCAGCTCGCCGTTGACCTTGAGCACCGCCTCCAGCACGAGCTTGTCGTCCAGGTGTTTGTCGGTGATCAACGTCGAGTACTCGCGGTCGCCCAGCGACAACTGCGACCGCAAGTTGAAGGCGCTGGTGGCAAAACCTTCGGCCAAGTCCATCAACCACTTGGCGGTGTCGTCGAGGCCAAAGTTCAGCAGCCCGTGGTGGAGGACGAGGGTCATGTTGACGAGCCCGTTGACGATGGTAGCTTTATTTTCCGCCGTCACCACCGAGCCGCTGCCCTCGGTGACCAATTTCTGGAACGTCTGGAGCAATTGCGGGTTGACAAACGTGCCAAACTCGTCAATGTCCAGCACGATGAGCGCCACCACCAGCCGCACAAGGTAGTAGAGCTCGACGTCGGTGCGGTAGTCGCCGTCCAACAACACTTTAATCAATTTCTCCACCTCGACGTCGCTGACGTAGCCAGAGGTGTCCATGTGTTCCTCGTTCCACACCACCACCAGCTTCGACACCAACACCTGGTACAAGTGGGCCAACAAGATTTCTCTCAGCGTCGTCAGCACGTCGGTGCGCAGCTGCTGCAACGAGTTGATGATCTCGTTGGGCAGGGTCGCCTCCAGCTTGATGCGCGCCTTGTTCAACTTCTCTGCTTCGTACTGCTTGCGGTCGTTTTTGTTCATGTTGTTGTCCAACGTCTTCTCGACCCCCTTGTCATTTTCCACCGTCATTTGGAGCAGCTCGAGCCGTTTTCTCAAGAGGTCCTGGATCCGGTTAAAGTCGGCCTCGACCGCCTCGTCGTCGCTGTCGTCGTTGTCCCGCATCGGCGTCCTCAGCTGCAGCGCTGCCCGCGACAGGCGGCCCAGCGGGGTCAATTCGCCTCGCACCCGGCGTAGTAAGTCAATCAGATTGCTCATCGTTTCGTCAAATGTGGAGAACTAAGCGGGGGAGCAGAGTGAGGGTCAGCTATATATAGTGAGACGATTAAATTATGGTGCGTACTGCAGACAAGAATAAGGGTGCACCGAAGACGCACAGGTATGCCGCTCCCACTAAAAATCGGTCACTCCCTCAGACGATAATTGTAGGTCCTTCTGGATAGAGCTACGAGACAAGGTTTGTCCTTGCTTTGTCTGCTGGCTATTAATTGGAATTGCCGTAGTTTAGCGCTGGTCAATTGCCGTATGCTGGTAGTGCATGACATTGGCAAGTGGTCCCATTTGTTGGCTTAGCAATCTTAAAGCAGGATCTGTGTCTCCGAGACACCAACTCCGAAATCTCAGCGGGCGCCAAGAGTATCAATACCAAAAGCTTCTAGACCGTTTTCTTCTCTACGTCATCCCACACCAAATAAAAATAGACTAAGTTTGGGTAGTATATTCTCGTTATTGGCGTTGAATTTGTATGAAAGCTCGTATTCTTTTGACTAGCCTCCCCTCTCGCGCGGGACGGCAGCAGCGTAAACGTCTAACAAGATCGTTTCCAATTCTTGGGCGATGCTTTTGACAAGGCGGTACTTACAAGGGGGTAGTTGAAAGTGGTGAGTTTGATCACAATTGGTATTCTACTTCGGTTGGGAGCCATGACAACCTGTGACTCATCCACCATCATGTTTCTCTCCCTACTACCAGTGGCACAAAATAAAAATACTAAACGATCTACCTCCTCTCCGCTTACTAGAAATGAAAGCAGAAGCGAGTCATTGTTAGTATCGTGTGACTTGGTAGCAGTCCCACCTTCACAAATATGCTACTACTTTATTTTACCCTACTGTAGAGAAAGAAATACGCTTTATGTTTCGTCCTGCCCCATTGCTTGGCACGGCTTGTAGAACTATAGCATCAAAGTACTACAACCATCAAGCTTAGAACGCCTTCTCAGGCAATTGTGGCTTTTTGACACCATTTTATAGTGAGTGGTGAGCAGCACAATTCTCGGCTTGGTCGGAATTGACCTCAATTGGAGCATCATTGGCATCAATTTCAGCACAAAAAAAAAAAAGAACCACACCAGTCTCAACAATTTACGCTTGATTTTTCAAGCAGAAAGCCAGCCACGTGGGGGAGGTCTGGTCCAGACAAATTTCTACGAGTACACAAAGTAAACATAATCAAATAATAGATAGATATGACATTCCAATCACAAGCGAACTCACTTGCCCTTGGCTTCCTTCTCCGCCTGAGCCTTGTAAGCGTCCATCATTTCGTAAGGGTCGTTTTCGGGAGGGTAGGGAGTCCACTTAGGGTCGTCGCCATCGAGGTTAAGGTAAGGACCGTGGTCGACAATGTCGTCGTCGTTGGCAAAGTCGTCGTAGTCGTAGTCATATTCTTCCTGAGACATGGTTTAAAGGAGAGTTGGACTCAGATTAGAGCACGGGGGGCGGTATTTAAATGGGTCAGACTACTGGTGACTGCACACTGGACACCCCCTGGCTGCGAGATGAGTAAAGGCCGTTCGCCATTGTGTTTAAGCTTTAGTCTCAGAGACGACCCCAAACAAGGTCCGGGGAGTGTACACACGCTCAATTGAGTCGGTTCATTGCATAATTGGTGGTAAATTGACTACAGGTAAAGTGATCGTTATGGAAGGCCGTGTTCCCATTTTTGCCACCCATGCACGGCACATGTCAAGAGGTCAGGGCTCTCCAGATCAGGAATTAAAAAGCGCACATCGAGCTAAGCATACTGATTTAATAAATTCGTAGTAATTTAAAGGTAAGAATGGATGGTAAACCTGATCTATGGAATTTGTTTTGTAGATGATCACCAATTGACTACTGGAGTCACTGGTGTGAAATCTATTGTCGCTAAAGAATTCAGCAAATCAGGTAACGTAGATGTTGACGCAACTATCGGTAAGTCCCAGCACCAACAAGCCTTAATGATTAAGTAATACATTGAGTGGAGATGGTATTCTGCTATCGATGTTGCTGATCAAATACCGATCGCACTGTCTTAGCTTTCAATGCAACCTTACTGCTGCTAGGTCTCCCCCTCCTTGATTTATGTGAGGTGTTTACTACTGAAATTGAATATTCAGTTGATAGAGGAGTGATTGCCGTTGTCAGAGAAACTTTTGACTTGATTTTAGAACTGAGGAATCCGATCTGGTTGATAGGATCAAGTAATTTCATTCTTGTACTATCTGTTAGCATACTGTTACTATGGAGACCAGGAGGTACGAATGACTAGGAAACAGGTTTTGGTATTGCACAAGCCGATCATCTCAGTCAGCTTTCAATGTTGTACATGTCTAAGTCTTCGAGGGCAAGTCATAGGAATAGTGAAAACAGAGCAATTAGGCTCATCTTTTAATTTAGTCGAGCTCCAATGCCATTCAAGGGTGTACTAGAAGAGCTCAGTTCAAAGTTCCATGGTCCAATTCATTAACGTTGACCGTAGAGATACTTCTTGAATACACACTTGATGGGCACCCACGTTTCTATTGTATTGAAGGAACACCTATGAAGTGAAGTTTGTTCCGCATTAGCTATACTAGCTTAATAATGGAGACTTACACTTAACCTCAACACTGTTGTCATCCAGAGGCCGTAGTATGGCTACTTTTCCTCTCCTCAGTTCGATTATCTAGCCGTAAAGAAGCTCTCCCGGAGTATACATGCCCGGCTACAGCCGTGCCTGGTATCTTTGTACCCCACCAATTTGTGCCCCACATGACCAAGTAGTAGCTCGACGAGAATCGAGCCATTTCAATCTCTAACCCTCCTAGACCTATTATTCATACTAAATCCAATTATAAACCATTCTTTCCAATTACTATTTTCCCCCCTTTAATTCCTGTTGTTTGTGGTGACCATCTCATCGGGGTCGCGTTATCGGAACCCATAAGCCTCCCCCACAATCTCCGAGGCCGCTCCCCCGTTCCGGCGCCCCAGTGTCCTCCCCTGTCCGTCCCTGCTGCCAGGATGTATGGTCTGCTCCACCTGAGGACGTCCGACGCCAAACGAGACGGCAGCAGCGACTACTTGCTGTTCAATCCTCGCCAGGCGTTTCTGCGCCAGGCCCTGGTGATATTGGCCAACACCGGCGAACGCGTCCGGCGAGACGTCACCCTTTCCAATCTAAGCATGAGTGTCCATACCCCCTTGCTACACAGCGAGCAATTGCCGCCTACGCCCAGTCTAAGCGCCCGGGCCAGCTACTACTACCACCACCCGGTGGTGCGGCTGGTGCTCAAAGCCAGCATCGCCTATTTAATCGCTCTGCTTGGCGTCTACTACACTCCCTTCAACAACATGTTGGGGCAAACGGACCTGAAACACGTCGTGGCGACGGTGGCGGTGTATTTCCACCCGCTGCGGCTGATCGGGTCGATGCACCAGACGCTCGGGTTTGCCGTCGTGTGTATCTTGTACCTGTTCAGCGTGTCGGTGCTCTGCCGGCTGCTATCGCTGTACGTCTACGGTTTAGGGCTTGACGAGCTCGCGCTGATCATTGACTTGGTGGTGTGTTCGACGGCGCTCGGAGTGGTGGCGTTTTTCAAGCAGCGGGTGAACAAGGCGACGTTTAACACCGCGTGCTCGTTGCTGATTATTTCGTTAGTTGGGTGTATCATCAAGGAGGGCGCCACCAACGCCGGCGAGGTGCCGTTGGACAAAATCGACGCCCTGCTCCGCGTCATCTGCTGCGGGTGTGTGATCACGGTGGCGGTGTGCTACTTGGTGTGGCCGGTGCGGGCCGTCCGCAGTCTCCGCAGCCTGCTCAACGACCTGTACAACTTGATGAGTGCCTGTCTTCTGCGGGCGGTGCTGGGGTTCCTCACCGGCGAACGCCTCACCCCCAAGGATCTCGAGGTGTTTAAAGCGCTTAAAAAGAACGTGCTGCTGCTCAAAAACAACTTGGCCGAGCTGAAGTACGAGTTGCGGGTGGTGGGGCGCGAGCAGGAGTGGCGGGTGCTCGAGGAGCTCGTGGCGATGACCATCGAGCTCACCAACCACATCCTGGCGCTCAAGACGTCGCTCGACATCCAGTACCGCCTCTTGGGGTCGCCCCACTCGGAAACCACCCTGATTGAGCTGTTGGACCTGTACACGCTGGACATCTTGCGCCTCAGTCAGCTGGTGGAAAACTTGACGTTCATCGAGCTGGGGGCGTCGCTGCTCGCCGACAACGAGGCCGAGAACTCCCGCCAGCTCTTCGAGATGTTCTGCTACTACCTCTCGCCGCTGATCAAGCTGTTTGTGTTCACGGTCAAGGGGGTGTTGGGCCAAGTGCCGTTTGAGAAGTACCGCGAGGACCAGCCCCGCAAGTTCGCCTCCACCGCCCACTTGCAGTCGGCACTAAACGACGCGCTAGACCTCTTCCGCCTCAAGCAAGAAGAGCTGTTTGAGAAGCTCTACGCCCAGGACTTGTTCCACCAGCCCGCCGACTTCATCTTTAAAGCCGACCAGGAAGAAGTGGCGGCGTGTTGCGGCAACTTCGTGCTGATGCTTCTGCTCTACGGCGAAGGGTTGATGAAGTTCATCAAGCTTTCCGAGACCTATGAGGACTGCCGGGCGCTGCTGCGGCGATGGCCGTGGCTTAAGTTCTGGAGCAAGCCGCCGTCGCCTATCTTAGTGCGCAACCAGAGCCAGACGCTCCACGCCGCCATCACTGGGTTCCAGAACCAGATCAGGTATAGCCGGCGCCCGCGCCCGCCCGCCACCCCACCGAGCTGGCGACTCTGGATGTGGCGCCGGCTCCGGGTATTGCGCCGCGTCGACGTCCAGTACGGCATCCGCGTCGGCTTGGGGCTGTTTGCCTTGGGGCTGTTTGCCTTCTGGAAGGCGACACGGACGTGGTTCCTCGAGTGGCGCATCGAGTGGGCGTTGACGATCTACTGCATCATGATGAACAAGCTGTTAGGCGGCACCACCTCCACCGTCAAGTGGCGGTTCATCGGGACGTTTTTGGGGCTGTTCATCGCCTACGTGGTGTGGGACGCCTCCGACGCCAACGTGTACGCCCTCGCCATCGCCGGCTTTCTATTAGCGATCCCGTCGTTCTACATCATCATGTTCTGGAAACAGAACAACCCCTTTGGCCGCTTCATCCTCTTGACCTATAACTTGACGGCGCTTTATCTGTATCTGATGCTTCAGCACGACAACGAGGACGGCAACGAAGGCGGCGAGAACCCGATCATTGCCGCCATCGCCATCCACCGGTTCATCGCGGTGCTGATCGGCATTGTGTGGGCGATCTTGATGTCGGTGACCTTCTTCCCCAACCTGGCGCGGCTGCGCTTGAAGACGGCGCTCGTCCTCCTCTGGCTCCGCATGGGGATCGTGTGGGACCTGAACCCGTTGGACTCGGAGCACGGGCGCCTCATCGGCCTCAAAGGATCGCAGGACATCCAGCTGTTGGTGGCGGAGTGTGAGACCCTCGCCAAGCAGGCGGCGCTCGAGTTCCGCTTGAAAGGCCGCTTCCCCAAAGTCGAGTACGATACGATCATCCTCCACTCGCAAAAGATTGTCGATGCGTTTGAGAACTTTAACATTATGGTCAAAGTCGACCCCCGCCTCAACTCGCTGGAGGCGGCGGTGATCACGCTGCTTGCCGGCGAACGGCTGGAGCTCGAGCACCGCATCTTCCTCATCTTCTACACGTTGGCGAGCGCGGTCAAGCTCGGGTTCCCCCTCCCGCTGAAGCCGGCGCTGCCCGACCACGCCAAGGACCGCATGCTCTACCAGTTGAGTAAGATCCGCGGCGAGCCGGCGACGCCGTTGCGCAACGAGGACTTCATCCTTCTTTACCTGTACATCCTCGTGTCGACGGTGATCGTCGACGAGTTGGACGACATCATGGCGATGGTGCGGCGGTTGTTGGGCGACATCTCCGAGGAAATCTTCGAGCTCGTATGACAGCATTATATAGTAACAACTAAAATAGTCAAAAGGAGAGCGAAACGGCTACAGTTAGGGCCGTGTCTCATTCAATTTGAAGCGTGGAATAATACCCCTAAAGAGTTCAATCTATATAATACGTAGGTCTGAATCGAGTCGTGTATGACTTTACTTCAGTCTAGATTTCACTTGTTTGTTCTAATACTCTAAAACGAATTGCTAACTTTGATACAAATCGTCAAATTGCATCATACACGATTCGCCTGGCAAATATTACGATCACGAGGCTAAAAACTAATTACACCTTTCATTTGTAGTACAAATTTTGAAGCGGGTTTTTCAGCTGGAACCATCACAACCATAGATAAAGAATCTAGAAAACCAAAGATCATTGAATCCGACTCTTCATATGCTAATCAAAACGAACATTTGTTACTTCCCCATAAAAGATACTGATAAACTTGATACTGATAAACTTGATGCTCACCTACCGTTATGTATCTCTCTCGCATAGATCTAGACCACATTAAACATTAGACTAACGGCTACGATAAAATCCTGCACACAACTGAACCAATCCGCCTTTGGCCGAAGTTCGGCCACCTTAGTGGTGGTGATGCGCAATGTCATACTAAGAAAAACTCCATCACGTGACCGAGCGAATTCTTATCATTTTCATCAGCAGCGATAGTCGCCCTCAAATCCCCCACCACCCCTGCCGTGACCAGGC